TTACCTGTGGCAGATCAGGGTGTTGATGTTTTATGTTAGGGTTGATGGTAGTTTTATGAGGAGTTTAGATTATGGATTTGTTTAGGATGGTTTGGATAGGGATGATCCTGCCCCAGGCAGGGAGCTGGGCTAGATTATGGATGCTCACCCTCTAACCCATGGGCCATATGTGGCCCAAGGAGCCATGGCATTTGGCCTGTGGGGCTCCCCACGGGTTGGAAAATGTGGTGGCAGGGGAGCATTGGCAATACCACCACCCTCCCCTGCTTTCAGGTCCTTGCCCCTTCCCCCCCCCACAGGACCGGGCTATGGCTCCTTCCTGCTGCAGGACCTGGCCATACTCCTTTTCCTCCCAGCAGGGTTGGAGCTGAGTCACACCATCAGGGTTATCCCTAGAGGAGTGAATCAGGGCGATCATGGTGGGCCCCATAGAGCTGGGCAGAGCGGTAGCTCTGCATCCAGCCGCTCACTCTCCCCCCCCATTGCTATCAATGGCGGTGGCAGCTTCTTCGGTCTCGGGCCCGTGGGATTGGAGTGGGGGCGGGGCCCCGCATGGGCTGATTTGCCCCAGGCCCCGCACCCTGCTCAGGTCAGCTCTGCACTCTATCTTCCCCCTCCCTCCAACAGGGTGAGGCCGAGGTTGGGCCCTGCCTCTTTGTTCCCCCTGTAGATTAGTTCACGCTCCTTCTCCCACATGCCCCCATATGGCCTAATGGGACCCTGCTGCACTCACCCTATGTGCCATGTCAGGACCACTGGCTGGATCCAGCCTGTGGACAGACTGGGCACTGTCCATCTGGTCTGCTGGGCAAAAAAGATTGGGCACCACTGGACTAGGTGACATCTGGAGCTCCCTTTGAGCCCTACTTCTCTATGATTCCAAGCTTTTGTGTGTCCTACCCTTACACTTGTGTAGTTCATGAATAACTGCATTGACTGTGGTGGGATTATATCAGTGTAAAACTGGCACAAGAGGAAAATCAGGCCCAGAAGCTATATCTGTGCAGTAGCCAGTAGGGTAACTGAGTGGGGGCTAGGGTTGTCAACTCTGACTGAAGCTATTCCGGGAGGTGTTTTTTCCCAGCATAACATAATGTCATTAGTTGAACCCATTCACAATATCAATTTCCCGGATTGCTTTCAGTAGTCACCGGGAGATCGATGTTGATTCCAGTTGACTTTTGACTTCCAGCCAATCCAGGGGGGCTGGCAATCAGGTGGGGGCAAGCAAGGCAACAACCCTTGGTGTTGTCTTCTTTTGGAGGGTGCAAAACATAGTTGCCACTGCAGCAGCGGCAGACAGCATAGCTGCAATTAGCAGTGTTGTAGCTAAGTGCTGCCTCATATTTTGTGGCTGCTCCCAATGCACAGCTCTCCTGCTGCATCATTGGCAGTAACACTGTGCTGATTACACTCATATTCTCACAGTGGTAGAGTCTTTCTGCTTTCCAGTGAAAATTTACGGCTGGACACTGCAGCCTCTAATTATGGCATTGTGATACTTGTGATGTCAGGGGACTGTTTGCAGAGTAAGGGTTATGGAATGAGGCTCTTAATAGCAGATTGCAGTATTGAGGTTCTTTGTTTTTTATGATTTTGTTGCTTTAAATATATTTATTACAAGCCATTTACTAGCATTTAGGAAATCTGGTCATAAGTAATGAATACAAAACTGAGCTTTTCAAATAAAAAAACAACAAAGTAACATTTAAATTCACAAGAAGCAGGATTAGAACCATATAAAAACAGCCGGGATAATGCAAAATGTAGTGTTTGTATATATCTTAATTTAATGACTTGCTTGTCTTCCATGACTAGCCCATAAATATGTGGTATTATCTTATAGGTGTCCATGGCAGTATATACAACACAAATTGCTGTGTTAAAGATTTGAAACCATTCCCATTAAAGCTTCTGTGCATTTTGATACCTTTATTCAAATTTCCTTTTTCAAGTTTTGTGTTTAAAAATAGGTATTTTTAAACGCACAGAGCCAGCTCCTGTAGTCTGGTATCTGTTGGAAACCATCTGATTTGAATACCTCTGGCATCTTAGAAGCTATTTCCTGCAAAAAGTGCTACCATAGAGTTTATTCAGCTGACTGGAATGAGTTCACATAAAATATCTTGATACCAAGAATTACATTTAATGTAGTTAAACTTGGAAGAGGGTACAGATATGCATGAGAGCATCTGATTCGTGTGGACCAAAATAATGTGTGGCACCTTCCCTGAAATGCAGCAATAAGTAGTTTGCTGTAAATAGTAATCAAAGATTACCTGCTCTTGTCTTTCTGACAGTACCAACTATTTTATTCCAATATCCTCTGGAGGTTTTTTCAATGTCCCCTGTCTAGGCAGGGGACGGCGATACATTCCTCCTTCAGACCTAGTCTTAGCCGGTACGTTTCCAAATAGAATAATTGTCTATCAAAACTAACCAAAATGGGTCTAAAACATGCCAGTATTAAAGAATGTAAGCATTAAATGTCCTTAGTTATGATAAAACAATAAAAATATGTTTTGACATTCAGAAATGTTAATTATGAGTTCATCAATTTAAAATTAATGGTTACTTCTGGCCTTCTGTGGGAAGTCTTTTGTCCTTTCAAAGTGTAGTGTGTCTCTTTCTGCTTTGTAAGGGATAGTCTAGACTAGGAAAAGAGGTTGAGATGAAGTCAGGTTTCGCTAACCTACCTTGGATACATGTTTGTTTACCATGACCAAATGTCAGCTGCTTATCTCAAAGTAGATAAATTGGTTGGATCATAAGCTGGTGTACACTGCCACAGCTCCACAAAAATCAATTGAGTTTACAGCATTGCACACTAGCCAGCATTTTGAACTTGCCCTGATTTGTACTTGCTACCTTTGAGATTGCCTTTCTTTTGGACACCCCTCTCTTGTCTTGCAGCATTTCAGATAGGGGGTGCAGCCTAGCCAGGGCTGAGGATTCACCTTTCCCATCCTATTTCCTGACCTCTCTATTGAGCCCAAAGTAATTACCTGTGTCTGTTTTAGATATGCTACTCTCTTGTACCAGTGCTATTTAACAAGCTATAATTATTTTATTTCTATACAAAAATTTTACGGGAATGCTAGTCAGAGGCATGCAGATACTTAAAATAATCATGTGATCATGTCATTTGAAACTGTACCTTAAAGCATGCATACAGGTTTGTTGTGCATTTCCTAACTTTGCCACTTGAATAATGCCCTTTTAACAATTTTTAAGTGCAATTACAGATGTAAAATGAATATGTCATGGTTGTTAAGTACAGATAAATCAATCTTTGGAACAGTAATATACTTTTAAAAGACCCTAGGTAGGGTCAGTTTTTTAAGTGGCCTCCAGCTGGCCTCTGAATTTGAACCTGCAGTTTTCTTGGCTCACACTTCTTCATGCTTAAAAGCATGGATTAGTCTGAGTAAATCAGATGATGTCTACTTAGGTACTTTTTGCAGGAACATATTGCTACAAACCATGATGTGAATCTTAGGGAAGCATTTTTATTGTGCATGCTAATTACTTTTGTGGGAAATCTTCTTTCTGTCTTGCAAAATAGAAACTGCTGGACATGCTTGATTATGGTTGGTCCAGTGCCAGTTTGCTGGTAAGATCTGACAGAATAGGTATCTTGAGAAGACTAAAGGGCTGGATCGTTTGTTTGTGACAGCTGTGTTTTTCTAACAACAGCGCACCAGAGGACCATCCTCTTTTTCTTGCTATCATATTACGTGTCTGGCTGTGTTTTCTGAAACAAGTAGATCCATTCTGTTGTAACATTCCTCCTCCAGGATGATTCTTTTTCCAATACCGATCAGGTCAATGGACTGAGATGCAAGTACATTGGTTTATTGAAGTATGTTTAATCGGATTATTGAGCAATTTCCTTATGCTAGCTGCAAGATCAGGTTTCCAATCATAAATCAAGATTATTAGTTTGCATCCTTTGACCTAATACAGTAGCATGGAGGAAAGACTCCTAACTATCGGACAGTTTAAAATACCCTTTTACTTTCAGACAATTTTGTCTTCCTTCTTTTTTCATTTCTGTTCTCTACTGTTTGAGGATTTAAATAAATAAATAAATACATCAGACATCTTTTTATTCAAAGATTTATGTTAAAGTAAACAATCCCATGAAGAAAACTTTAATTTATATTTATTTTGGTTAAGTTATAATGAAGCATACCCTCTAGGAATAAAATGTGTTAAACACAAGGCAGCCACATTATTCTTTCTTGATTGTTTTGCATTTTGCCCTCTTAAATTAAAATTTAAAATTGTGTACTTTAGTAGACAAATATGTATTTAATTAATTTTGATTAGTTTATACTGTCTCTAGTGCTCTGTTTTGAAAGTATTGTTATCTTAAGCTTTTATTGCATTTTGCATAGTTGTTGAGCTTACATTTATCACAGGATTAGGACTAGTACAATGATGAATGGAAATCACTTTTCAAATGGGAGAGTCTAGATTCTGATTATTTTGTCTGGGAAACTCCAGACATTGGAACAGTTTTTTGGAATTTTATATATATAATTCTCTCTCTCTCTATTTCATAAAATCATAGGAAAGTGGGGTTGGATAGGACTTTATAAGGTCATTTTATCCAGGCCCCTGCTCAGGGCAGGATCACCCCTGACTATACCATCCTTTGTAATAATTAAACTTTTTAGGCTAATTTAATCTAAGTTATCATGCCTCCATCAACAACTTCCCAAAAGTTCAAAAATATTTACACAGCTTTCCTATTTCACAATTTAGAAATTACTCCAAATGTCAATATGTATCCATAGACATCCAGTGTTTCAAGACACTTTCAAGTGCATGTTAACTTTTGTCACAAGTTATTGGCTAACTTTTCTTGAGGCTAAGATCCCTTGAAGTCCTTGAGTATTGCATAATATCCTAACATACCTCTTTTGAAAGGTGATCTATAAATGTGTTGAACTGTGTGTGCTGCAAAGTAGTAACTTGTTTTCACAATATTGTAGGACACTGGTGTATTGTCAGTGGGTGGACAATCTCCATGAGACTCAGAAGATGCTTTCATTTACTGGCCCCTTCAGTGACCTGTTGAAGTGGATTCTGTGCCATCTAACAAAAGGAATTGTGAAACGAGAAATGTATGGCCATGGTATTGGCCGCTTCTCTGAGGAAGAGATATACAAGCTGATGGAGAAAGACATGCGGTCTCTAGCAGGCCTTTTGGGTAATGTACAATATATCATGAACTATATTCTCCATAAACACTTTTTGTGATCAGGCATACTGGAATGCTCTCTATGAGGCTGTATTAAATTCTGTTTTGTTTCCAAACAAAGTATGTATAACCCATCCCAGGCCTATCATTCAATGGTTGTTTCATCCTTGAAGGGAAGATATCTCTTTCCTACTATCTGTATATGCATATATTGTCAAATTCTGTTTCCACAGTATACTTATTAGGAATTGTAGTGTGCATGATACATGCTCAAGGGAAGAATTTTGGCCAAAATATTTTAACGAAATATTTGTAAAACTGATGTTTGAAAGATATTTGAACCTGTTGTGTCTATTTTGATGAGTTGAGTGTTTTACTTGATGTTAGCATTCTTTGAGTAAGGCTGCTTCCCAGCGGGCTTTAATTGTTATTACCTTGATATTCAAGATGGCTGAGTTGCTGTTGGAATATGGCACAGTGTAGCTGGTTGAGAAGACTCAACCAAATTACTGACCACCTTTAAAAGTCTTTTGGTTTGCTGCTTTAAAACAGTTAATTTACTTCTGCTCACCTTTGATAGAGAAATGTTATTCAACTAGTTGCTGAATAAAGCAGAAGTGACACTCTTGTAGTAATTAACGTGCAAGAATTTAAGTTGCTTAAACTTACCATTTCCTCTGTCTTCAGACTTTTTACTTCTTCATGCATGTGTAGTAAAGTTACATTTTTATTCAGTTAACTTGTGTAAATATATAGAAAGAAAATATGTCGGAGACCTGTGGATATAGAAGGAATTTACTGACTGCATATCTTATCTTGGGGACCATTCTCACCCCCCCTGTTTTTGAATCTGTTTTATAGCTACTTTTTCATACTTCTGCTAGCATCTTCCTGCTCTGGAGGATTCTTTGAGATTCATAGGTTCCTGGAGGATAAGGAGTATAAAGTATAGAATATAAGAGACCATTATATCATCTAGTTTAGGAGTGGGCAGTTATTTCAGCTGGAGATAGCTGAAAAGCTGCAAAGATAGCCCCGCCCCTTCACAGGTGCCCCACCCTGATTGCCGTCTTGGGACTCGAAGTCCTACTCCTAACCCTGACCTTTGCCACCAGAAGTCCTTCCCCTTGCTCCTGGAAGTATTCCTTTTGGGAGCGGGGTTTGCCATCTTGGAACCAGAAAAAAACAGAATCATATACAAAAAATTAAACATCTATTATAACATATTTTAATTTTATTTAAAAATATTTTATCCTGATTTACATGTGTTAGCATAGGGTATATATAGGTGATCACATAATAGCTCAAACTAAAGTCTTACTCTTGTACATTGTGTGGGGGGGTGTGGGTGTGGGGTTAGTGGAGGAGGTGTGCGTGAGTGTGGGCTTTCTAGGGGTTGTGGGGAGTGGGTGTATGTGTAGGGTTTCTGGGGGGTCTGTGGGGAGTTTATGGTCGGTGAGGGTGGGAGTGTGTAGGGGTGAGGTTTGTAGGGGGGTATGGGGCCCCCCACCATATGCCCCCTTCCCTCTCTTCTGTGGCACACAGCCCCTGCTGCCAATGGCAGAAGCAGCAGGTGGCGGGCCCTTGGGGTGCTCATGGCCTGTGGCAGACAGAGCTCCGTGGTAGCACACAGCTCCAGCTGAGTCCTAGGAATTAGGGGTGTACTGATAGAGACTTTTTGAGCCAATACCAATGGCCAATTTTTAGCAAGCCATACCGGCCAATACTGATCCGATTTTATTATGCCAGGCAGCATGGAGAGCAGTGTCCAGCTGGTAAGTCTGTTGTGGGGGAAGGGGTGTCGCAGAGGGGCAGATTGAGGCCCAGATGTGGGAGCCACATGCCAGTGGACCAAGCCAGGCCGGCTCCATGCTTCCATGTGGGGTTTCCAGCACTCCAGCAGGAAGCTCCATATGGCGACATGGAACCTGCCTGGCCTAATGGTGAGCGAGTTGCTGTGGCTTCTGTTCCATGCACTGTCAGGCCAGGCGGGCTCTGTGCCATACTTTGGGGCTCCTGTCACTGCAGCCAGGAGTGCACACTGCTGGGCTGGGTTGGGTTGGCTCCATACCTCCATGTGTGGCTCCCTGCTGGAGTGCTGGAAACCCCACGTAGAGGCACACAGCTGGTTTGGCCTGGTCCACTGACATGCAGCTTCCACCTGCAGTGCTAGAAGTCCATGTGCTGGGACAAAGTCAGCCCAGCCTGGTTTGAAGATGTACCAATGGGCCGGGCCAGCTCACTGCTGTCATGTGCAGTCCCCAGAATTCAGAGTTGTGTGTCACCGGGGGGTTCTGCATACCATGGGCCATGAGTGCCCTGAGGGCCCGTCACCTGCAGCTGCTGGTGGCAGTGGGGACTGTGTGTCATAGGGGGGTGGGGGGCCCTTCCCCCACAGCCCCCCCACACCCACCCATGACCCCTTCTCCCCACACACATACCCATAAACCCCACACCCACCATACAAGCGCACCATCAGGCCAGGCAGGCTCCCTGCCGCCATGTGTGGCTCCTGGCACTGCAGGCAGGAGCTTCCCTCCCCACTCACCAGCTGTCCAGTCACCCACCCATCATGTTTGGTGCCTCCACAAATGGCTTCCAGCTGGAGTGCCAGGAGCCCCACAGAGATGGAGGCACAGAGCCTGCCCAGTCCAATGGTGTGTGACCTCTGAAAGCCTGTGCCTCCCGCTGGCTTTCAGAGGGGCAGCTGTGGGCTGGTAATAACTGTTCTTTGAAGGGGCCCTGCAGGCCTTTTTTTTTTTTGAATGGCCTGGAGGGCTGGATTTGGCCTATGGGCTGGATTTTGCCTGCTCCAGTCTAGTCTGACCTTCTCTATAACACAGGATATTAAACTTCATTGCTACCTCTGTATTGAGCCCAATAATTCATGTGTGGCTAAAGCATATCTTTCAGAAAGGCATTTAGTCTTGATATAAAGACCTCAAGATCAAGATGAAGAGATGGAGAATCTACCACTTTCCTTCATAGTTCCACCCTGACCATTAACATTTTGTTCCGCATTGAATTTTTCTGGATTTCTGTTTCTAGCTGTTTATTCTTGTTACTTCTTTCTTTGAAAAATTAAATAGCCCTGTAAAGAGAAATACTAATCAAACTGCCTCAAGCTGCCTCTCCGTCTGCTTTCTGATAAGCCAAAATGATTGAGCTACTTAATGTTCTGACTGTCGGACATTTTCTTCAGCTCTGGAATTATTTTGGCTCTTTCCTGTACCTCCTAAATTTGTCAACATTTAAATTATATATCACCTCTATGTGCCTGAATGCCATTTAAGTAATTTGGCAGGCAAGGTTCTTTAGGTAAATCTGACATCTTTTATTAGAGCAACTAAATAGTTGGAAAAATTAGCAGGTTATCTGCCGTGCCTGCCATCTGATAACCCCAGGTAACCTGCCTGCATTTTACCAGTTACATTCTACCACCAGGTCAACATTTCCCCCTCTCCCCCAACAACTACCTGTCTCACACCTATTGTCTCCCATTCCCTCTGATCCTCACTGCCACACATTTGCATTTTCACAGATCTGCATTTTGCATTTTGGCTTGTATTCCACCCAGAAGAACACACAAAACACCAGCAGACTCTCCCTATGCCTGAAGAAGGGTGTTTGTGCCCAAAAGCTTGCAAAGAACAATTTTTCCGACTATTTAATTGGTCTAATAAAATATACTACGTTTACCCAAAGAAATTTTCAGTCTAAAAGTCATGAAGTACTAAGTCAAATGCCTTCCAGAAGTCTAAGAGTGTTGTGACCTTTCTCAGGTACTATATAGTCTCAGAAGAATCAAGTGAGGTTTGCTTGATAAGCCTTGTTTCTATAAAACCATGTTAACTGGCAGTAATTATATTTCTATTCCTCATTTGCTTATCATACTAATCCTGCAACTGCTTTTCCATTATTTTGTCTGGGATTGATGTCAGGTTAACTGGCCTATCTGACCAGAAGATGCTGGCATACTTACAATTTTCTAGTCTTCTGGAATTTCCTCCATATCCAAGATTTATTAAATATTAGTACCAGCAAGACAGAGATCTCCTTAGCTACTTCTTTTATGTTTCATAGGTCCAGACTTACTGATTTATAAAGCATTTATCCTGGTAGCCTCCTTTTTTACTTTGTGTGGAGAAATGTTATTTATTTCACGGAAGTTTTCAGTATTTTAAAATTTGTTTTCACTCTGGTTAGGAGATTTGGATTTGCTGCCGGCCTGAGTTCCTTTAGAACTTAGGTGAGATCAGACTGTTTCCATGAAATGCTCCTATTTTGCTGGCTTAGCCAGTGCCAACTGAATTATGCTTTTGTCTTATTTTTTTCTGATCAGCTCTGTCTTTTTGTAACGAATGGACTAGCATGCATTTTATTATCATTGTCATCATCACATTATATGAGTGTGTTATCCTGTTTCTTCCCAAATTAAAGAGAAATATTAATCAAATACTTTTGCCTTCAATGTGGTATTATTATAAACACATTTACTATCTCCATCTAGTAATGGGCCCAGTTGGATTTTGCATATGTTGGATTATTTTTTTTCTGTCTGTTTTGCAGGGGCAGCAGTGACTTCCAGTTGTTACTGTGCTGTGTGCATGATTGTGATTGCAATCTCGTGGCTGCCAGCAGCAGCTATTTTTTTCCCATCAACCTCCCATCATTCTCCCCATGTCAGTCCCCAGGGAGGTTGCCCCAGTCACTCTGTCTTAGTTATGCCACTGGAACCACCAACTTCCAGTCTAGTGTGTTCCATAATTCAGTGTTTTTCATTAAGATAAGGACCAAATTAGAATGACCTCATGTTGGATTAAATCTTTTTTGCGTTTAAAATATCGTACGAATTCTTAGAAATTCTAATGACTATTGACTACTGCCTACATAACACCCCTGGAATCTGTCCCTACCTGATTGATGTTCTTCCAACACCATCATTCTTTCCCCATGTTACTGGCAGTGCTTAAGCTATAATTCATGCTGCAGTCTGGTTTGATTCAGTA